TATTTCTTTTGTTTAGGTATGAACGAAATTACAACACCTAACTCATTCCAATTTTCCCGAGAAATCAGTCAACTCCCCCCCCCCCTCCTCTTGAAGATTAACTTCGCTTTCTATCAACACAATACAGAAAGAGGGCATCCGATTTCTGTCTCCAACTTTAAAATTATTTCAACAGCCAAACATGATACTGAACTTCTTATAAAAGAAATATTATACATAAAACTCTTCTCCCGTCCCTAAATAACACACATTCTTCACTGTATTTAAACCTATTTTAACTATTTCGTTTGTGCCTCAGTTTTCATATATCGTGTTATATTTGTATATTCGATTTGTTTATTTCTTATGTATATATATATTTATGTTCTAATTACAAATATTGTTTGTTTGTTTTGTTACCCTAGATTACTGATGATGGAATTATGACGATTCCGAAACGTCTAATAAATGCTTCTTTTTATTACGTTCGTGTTTTGTTTTATCATTATACTGTATATATATATATATATATATATAAGTGTGTCCGATTGGTGCCATTTAACACACAATCCTTAGAGTATTGTGTATTGTGAAAAAAGAGGGAATCCTCAACAGATGCGGCACTTGAAATTGTTTTAGGCAGGATTAGAGTCAGTTAATCTATGAGACCTTAGGCGTAGTCAAATACATCAATCCAAATCTGTAATTATATCTCAAATCGGTCAAGAGATGATGGAGCTATGAGCTAAAAGTTTTACAAAACTAAACATTTGACTTAACTGTGGAATATAGTGAGTTCGGAATTTAAATGCAATTTTAAAGGAACGTGATTTAAAAGCTAGTGATCACCTTTTTACGTGAGCAAAGTTTCGCAGGTTGGTGAAAAAGCCTAATTCAACACGTGATACTCGTATGTTACAGCTAGGAGATTTAGCCAAAGAATTTCGTAAAACTAAAAAATTCATATTTGGGTCACTAAAACACGTGTCGTGTCTCTAAAACAATTCCAGCACAATGGCGACAAGGTCTAGTTTCTTGGAAAGGATAAGCTTGAATGAAAGGTACAATTTAAGAACCTTCAGGAGCCTTCCTTGATTTATCTGTACGACTTCCTTGTATACTGGATATTAAAGAAACATGTAAATTCAGAACATACTGTAACTACTAATTTGAATATTGAATGAAAGACGATCTCACACATTGTCTAGCAGGTTGATCTAAAGGTTTTTTTAACTTACAGTTTTGAAAAACGACCATCAGCATGCTATTGTTTGATATGAATGTTACATAAGATTGAAGACTTGATTAACTAGGCTTATTCTAACTAAAAATCCGTATCATATTAAGCCTCTTAGCAGTTGCATCTTCAGTAGAGATTCTCTGCTATTTAGTTGCTAGAAAATCTTTACACGACAAGAAAGAAAACTAAATAGATCAGAGTAAGATAAAACCATTGAAAATAAACACTTCTGGAAAACTTTTGTATAAATGCTTCTGTTCTACTTTGTCAGTGATCACATTATAACGGTTTTAATTTTATCAACCCCTTTTATATTTACTTTGGTAGTCTTGAAACAAAATCATGTGCTCATCATGGTTACAAAAACAAAAATGTGAAATGCGTAGCAAGAAATGTGAGAACACGTATAACCCGAATACTTTATACGTGTAGGTAGTAAAATTATTCAACTATGGAATTAGATTTAAAACAGATAGACAGACAGGCACATAGGTACATGTTTGGAATGCTTCGAAAGGCACAATTACTGTCATAAATTTTTAAATGGCATATCAAATTACGCAACGTGTAAACCATATATGTCTTCTATTTAAAATGATGTTTTGATAACATGGACTTTCAATGAAGCAAACCTGGAAACTTACGGTTTAAAACCAATAAATCCGATGTGTATATATATATACACAGTGTGCAAGTGTGTTAAAACGTATATCAGTGCTATAGTGAATGGGTCATTTTGGTGAAACTGAATGAATGAATTGAAGACAATTTACAGGATAAACACCATTTCAAATGTCGAGGTTCATGACTCGACTCGCAATTAGCTGAATTTCCACCCTATGAAATCACTTGATTTTACTTCTAATAAAGGAAATTGTATCCTCTGAAAAAATCCGAAATATCAAGTTTCTTTAACTACCATTCTTTAGGTGCCTTCCAAGTATTAGGAACATATTGACTGACATAATTACCTATTCTAATAGGTAGGCTGTCTTGCTATAAATGTTTATATGTTTCGTTGTAACTTTAATTGTATTAATTTTACCCACAACGTGTCAAATCTTCGTACAGCTGGTATAATAAAAAATCTTTGACTTTTTCTTTTTGTGTATAATTTTTCTTTTTTTTTTTTTAGAAGTTAGCGATTTCGGAACAACAATTACACACTAAAATCTATGTGCAAAATATGATCTAATGCTATTTTCTAAGTTTGTTTGTTTGTAATTAAGCACAAAGCTACACAATGGGCTATCTGTGCTCTGCCCACCACGGGTATCGAAAACCGGGATTCTAGCATTGTAAGTCCACAGACATGCCGCTGTGCCACTGGGGGGGGGGGGGCATTTTCTAAGTCCAAGATGTGTGTGTAAGTTATTAAATACTTAGAAGTATCCTTAGGTAGCTTTACTTGGTTAAGACTATAACTGTCATTTTCCGTAAAGACTTTCAAAACTGTCCGAATACGCCCCCCAGTGGCACAGCGGTACGTCTGCGGACTTACAACGCAAGAAACCGGGTTACGATACCCATGGTGGGCAGAGCACAGATAGCCTATTGTGTAGCTTTGTGCCTAACTACAAACAAACAAACTGTCCGAATACTTTTGTCATCAGATACGTTTATCTGAAATATTTGTCTTATCGCATATTTTTTTTTGCATTATATGTATTTTAAGCTCAATTCCTAACGTGTAACAGACAATGCATAACACTAATTATTTTGGCAAAATTGTTTTTTAAACATTATAAGTTAACTTAATTCAAAATAAACTTGTTACAAAAATACCGTGCTAATCCATAATCGGATGAATTAACAGATAAAAATGTCAAACTACAGGCTAATACGAAAACTTAGGTTAAAATGGCAATTCCTTAGTTCAAAAATCAGTTTACACTACTATAGGCTCCCCAGTGGTATGGCTGTGGACTTATAACGCTAGAAACTGGGTTTCGATACCATGATGGACAGAGCACAGATAGTCCTTTTTGTAGCTTTGTGCTTAACTACAAACAAACAAACAATACGATAGATCATTCAGTGATAAATCATGCCGTTGTTTATACCGAAATTAATGAGTTTTTTTAATAGATATTAAAAAAAAGTGATTTAGTGTTTACGCAGTAATTACTGGTTAAACATGCAACCATTTCTGTTCTGTTAATAAACACTCTACCTCATAATTGCAAGATAATTATAATTAGGATCTGCATTCCTAAACGATTTTACTTTGACAATATACAAACACATACGAGTATATGTTTAGATACTTACGACCTTACCACCAGAACATTTTAAACGTAAATACAAATATCTGTATGCAACACAGGCAGGTAAATATGAAGACCTTTATACATAACTTATTGATGGAAGGATGAAGTTTCGAGATTATAAATCATCAAGCCTAATATTCAGTCTTCCCGGCCTCATTTTTCTTTTAACTGTGTATAAGGTAGTTGATGATATGTAGTTCAAAATTATTTAACATACAGAATACTTTTTCATTTCCAATTTGAAGTAAATATTACACAAAATTAATTTAAGTTGAAGAAACCGACACTAAATCTTACCTGAAATCACGACGATTTTAAAGTCCTGATTCCTGTCAGCCCTAAACAACAACAGCCACTTATATTGCGTGCTTATGTAGCAATCTGCACGGGCTGAGATTAAGCTGTTGTTGACCTCATTTGGTGTACCTCTACCGACACAGGTATTACAGGTTTACCTGTTGCTCAGCGAGTTCTTGTTTCTAGCTTAGTCGGAACAGAAACGTTTGAAAGAGTAGAAATTTTTTCGCACTGAACTCATGTATAATGCTCAAAAAATTGCATCTATTTAGATATAAATTAGAATATTTGCGATAAACAATTATTAATAGAAATTGTTTTTAAGGCAAGTTGACTGCGCACCAGTTTCTGCAATGCATATATATATTTAATTTCCATAAACCTCATACATTTTATTCAAGACTCCTATAGTTCAGCGCCCTTTTGACATATTAATATAATCGTTTTCCGGGAAATAAATTCTAGTCATTTTCAATTTTTAACATTTCTAAAACTTTGACAATACGCATGTGTAAAATTTAATGTTTGTTTCTTAAAATTTGGAACAGATGGCGCTACTCATGCTAATATGTATCAAATTTATGTCATATGCTGGAAATTTGTCGAAAGTATTCAGACTTTGCCCTAGGTAAAAGTATCGTGATGTATATTTAAAACCTTATCTGTATTTAACTTATATTCCATCATTATAAACCAATGTCGTTCACATAATTATTATAAAGCGTATTAATTACTGGCCAAGTGTGTGTGATTTGATAACAAAATAGCAAGTAAACTTATTACTACGAAGATACATAATTTGACAAATGAAGTTGACCCTCCATTCCAATCGTTAATATATCACTTCATAATGTCTAAAGTCACACGAATGACACTGTTTAACTAATACATCTGCTCATAATACCTTTAAAAATGCTTTATTTTATTGAAATCGTTTAGTGTATTATAAGAATATAAATTTTGATAATTGAATGGATAAATTATTGTGTCACACAGGTTTCTATCGTATACTTATTTAAAACTGTTACATATTATGCAGATGTGGCAGTCCTGACTGATATACTTGTTCTTCTATAACTTTATTTATATAACATTTAAAATGCGCGTAATATTTTCAAACTAGTTGTATGCAATAATTCAGTCTTGACCATTATAAACCTTCACTTTGAGACTGTGACAATACTCTACAATACACCATCCTTGGATTATCTCAATATTTTATGATACTGTTTTACTGGAAATTCACATATTGCTTGTCCGACTTTAACATGAGGATAGCCATTTTGCACATCTTGTGTGTATGTGATTAAATAAAATTACAGAATTGTCTTTTTGGTCTCTAACTCTACGTGTGTATAAATTAGAGAAGCGTATTTTCTTTAGTCTCTAACTCTACGTGTGTATAAATTAGACAAGCGTCTCTTTCTTTTTCTAACTCTACGTATATATAAATTAGAGAAGCGTATTTTCTTTAGTCTCTAACTCTACGTGCGTATAAATTAGAGAAGCATCTTTTTCTCTCTCTCTCTAACTCTACGTGTGTATAAATTAGAGAAGCGTCTTTTCTTTGGTCTGTAACTCTACGTGTATATAAATTAGAGAAGCGTCGTTTCTTTGGTCTCTAGCCTTACGTGTGTATAAATTAGATAATCATCTTTTTCTCTCTCTCTCTAACTCTACGTGTATATAAATTAGAGAAGCGTCGTTTCTTTGGTCTCCTAATTTATACACACGTATGGTTAAGAAGAGTATTTTATTTTATTTTTTTTTGTCTGTAACTCTATGTGTGTATAAATTAGAGAAGCGTCGTTTCTTTGGTCTCTAGCCTTACATGTGTATAAGTTAGAGAAGAATCTTTTATTTATTTTTTTGTCTGTAACTCTATGTGTGTATAAATTAGAGAAGAGTTTTTTGTCTCTAATTCTAAAAGAAAAAACACACACACACACACACTTAACTCTTGTACTCTTACTTATATTAGACTTGTTAAAATGTAACTTTATTTTCTATGTACAATTGCATTTTCACTTATTGTGTTTATCCATATCCTTTTCTTTTCGTTTTTTGCTGAACATGAAATATACTTATTCTAAAATACTTTTGTCTTTGTGCAGCAAGGTCTAGTCTCACCTACTGTTGGTTTGTAAAGTTAAATGACATAAATAGAATAATCACTTTTATTTCAAATATGTTCGGAGTCTACAACTCTTTTTTTTTCTTTTTTGGTCTTGTACCCAACTTGGTTTTTTACATCTGAAACATTAACTCCAACACGCACCGAGGACCACACTGAAACGATTTGTCCTTCTTCCTTCAAAACTCCAAGGATTCATTATCAATTAGATTCTAGTGTTCATTAGGTTATTTCAATTGTGATTTAATTTCGTGTCACTCTCCAGATAGGAAGCAACAGGCTTTGAATCTTAAGCTTTCAAACTACCATATAATGAAGCATGTTAAATCTAAGAAGAAGATAACACAAATTATTTTCCTCAACAATTTATTATTATTATTATTATTATTTGGCACTTGCCACACGCACTTGTATTTAAATCTTAAAAATAAATCTCTTTCTTTTCATTTCCAATCTGATAATCTCATTTCTCCGCATTCCCAGGTTTTCATTAATTAGAAAATAATAACAACGTCTCGTTGTTTGTTACTGAGCGTAAAGCTACACAATGGGCTATCTGTGCTCTGCTCACGACGGGTATTGAAACCCTGTTTGTAGCAGTATAAGTCCACAGACATACCGCTGTGCCACTGGGGAGCAACAACGTCTCGTTCTGTTTTTGACCAGAGTAAGCATTGTATGAGGAATTAAAATGTCAGAAAAATAGGCATGCTGAACTTAATTTCGATAAGAAATATTTTACCTATGTTACCACTACTACAATGTGAGTTTAATAATAAGAAAAACAACGGTTTTTTTTACCAATAACCATGTGGTACTAAGATACATTGATGACCGTCAGAAGGTAATTAGTATCTGTAATACGGCTGGTTTCATAATCGTTATCCAGAAAATAATTTTAAATGTAGATAGCAATGGAAAAATCATGGAAAAACAAGTGTTCATATAAAATAATTATCTTACTCAAACAAACCACAGGGAATTACCTCAACTGGACATAACTCATTGTTTGTTATATATATATAAATTAACTGGCAATTGAAGCTGGATAAAGTACGTCTGCAAAAAACAAGAGCAATAATTATAATGATCTCGATTCGAACCTGGTAGGTATTTTGGTTTTTGAAATCAGGGGTGCTCAGAAAGCGATTTTAATTTCTCTTCGCACTTTTCTTGGCTTGTTTAATTTAAATACGTTTTGGAGACTTGATTGTATTTTTGCCTGTTTTAAAATTGTTTAAATGGGTTGCCAAAACAAAGCGGAAAAGTGCGAAAGAAAGACCTCCGAAAATGCACTCATGAGAATAGCTTAGCTTCATGATTGGCCCATGTAGATCGTTCACTAGAAATAACACCAGCAAAGAGACCACACTGGCCACGCCCACCCCCTGGAGCCTCACACTCTGTCGCAGAAAGAACACAAGACCATAAACAAGACTTAGTAATATTTAACGGTTACATAGCAAATTTGCAACATTAACGCTTCACAGAAAATTTATAATGCACGGTATACAGATTTAACAAATTTTACAATTTCATACTTTACATAATAACTCAGGCCATATATATATATATATATATATATATTCTGGTCGGTAGCCTCAAAAAGGAAAGAAGATAAAGGTAAAACGCTCAAGATGATTGGTGGCTTGTGTTCTGTTTGTTTAATGATAATATATAATTGTGTGGTGAAATTTATTTATTCCAGGAAACTGGTGTTTCTGCAGAGGCTTCACTAGGCATTAGCACAAGGGGCTCGTGCCCCGATTCTGCTTGACAGTGTTCTGAATGCCCAGTTGGTGTCTTGAAAAATCAAAATAGAAAACCATGATCTCGCATCGAGATCATACTGAAACACCGAAAATTCCCGTACCTATGGGCCCGAGCCCTGAATCTTTTAAGCACCTATGTTTCTGCTAGTTTGAGTTGTTTTATTGTTTGAAGTTAGTTTGAGGTCCGTAGACATACCGCCGCACCACTGGGGGCCTGCTAGTTTAGTATTTTGGTTAAGAAGGCATTGCGATTTTTAGTTGTTGTTTTTTATAATAGGTGATAGCTAAAGTTTTGAAACATATTTCAATTGTTGTCAGCTTAGTTATTTTGTGAAGTGTATACTGGAAGGCAGTGAGCTAACATTATCGCTTGTAGTTGAATTTATTCTGTGTTTGATGGACAGAATTTAATATATTACGAGTGACAGCGTTTCCGTATTCTATTACCGGCCTGATGTACATTTTGTATAATAGCTTACTCTTTGCTTTGCTTTTGTAATGGTTTTAGCGAAATGCGTGTTCCAGGTTAAATTCTTGTTAAAGGTTATTCCTAGGAAGTTAATACTTTTTGGAGAATTTGACTTGTGTCACGTTGAAATTCTGTCTTTCTATAGAAGATTATCATTTGTTTTCTGTGTGTTTAACAAGACGCACCAGGGGTTGCATCACGTGACTATTGGAGACGGCTTGAATGGGTAACGAAGAAAACATTAATATAACTTTAACATAACAGCAAATGAACACGGTTTCGACAAGGTTTTGTCATCATCAGGTACAAGTAGTTTACACTGACACAGATATGTAAATATACAGTATTGAACAAAGAGGTCACATGACCGGATACTGTTGCAAAACTTAGAAGAGGTATCTTGGCACACCAGGGTGTTTGTTTAGAGTAGAGTTGTTTTGTTCATTTAAGATGGATTCCTTGATTTTTCGTTTGTTTATGTTGGGTTCTTTGTTTAAAATGACTGTGTTTTTAATAGATATACTATGGTTTTTTGAGTTGCAATAGTGAAAATCTCAGTATAGTTTAAGTTGCAACAAGACTGAAATGAAGGAATAATTGGTTACTAGTTTGTAATGAAGCATTTCGCGAATCATTTGATATATAAATTAATTTAACATGTAAATTTTATTCTAATGAAAGAAAATTAAATATAAAGAATAATATAATAAAAATTAAAATAAATG